CGGCGGCGGCGGCGGCGGCGGGGGGCTCCACTTCGACGACCGCTTCTCCGACGAGCAGCTGGTGACCATGTCGGTGCGGGAGCTGAACCGGCAGCTGCGGGGCGTCAGCAAGGAAGAGGTGATCCGGCTGAAGCAGAAGAGGAGGACCCTCAAAAACAGGGGCTATGCCCAGTCCTGCCGCTTCAAGAGGGTCCAGCAGCGGCACGTCCTGGAGTCGGAGAAGAACCAGCTGCTGCAGCAAGTGGAGCACCTAAAGCAGGAGATCTCCAGGCTGGTCCGGGAGAGGGACGCCTACAAGGAAAAGTACGAGAAGCTGGTCAGCAATGGCTTCAGAGAAAACGGATCCAGCAGCGACAACCCCTCCTCTCCAGAGTTTTTCATGTGAGTGCCCACAGCCTTGCCACCTTAACTAAAAGTTCTCCCTGGGAGTTGGTGTTGGGGGCTTTGCTAGAGCGACCGCCCGCCTTGCCGCCTTCTAGGGCGTTTTTTAAAGAGCGAAAACTCAAAACAATTTTAAAACAAAGTTGGCTCTTGGGGGTGGCTTTTGTTGGTGGTTCTCGTTTGTTTGCCCTTTTGCTTTTTTGGGTTTTTTTTTTTTTTTTTGCTTTTTAAGGTGGGCTGGCTCCGTGGTGGCCGACCAAAAGTTCTACATGAGTTTCTTTTCTGTTTATTATTATTATTATTTTTTTAATTTTTTTTTTTTTTTTGTGGGGGCTTGCTGTTGTGGTTTTGTTGTTTTTTTTTTTAAATTTAAAAGATCCAACTCGCCACCAACTCAGTTCTTCATATGAAGCTTGCTCTTCTTTGAAACCTGCCATCCACATTATATATATATATATTTTTAAGTTCATGAGGTTTTTTTTTTCTTTTGAGCTTGCTGTGTCCAAAAAGTCAGATTTTTTTTTTTTGCCATCCTGAGTTCCTCATATGAGATTTGAGCTTTGCAAAAAGAAAAATAAAATTTAAAAAAAATACAAAAAAACACAAAACAAAAACAAAAAAATACAAAAACAATGTGAAATTTTTAGACTCCAGCTTGCTGAGTTCCATCAGTTTTTAGCGTTGTTGTGCAAAACTAGAGATATGCCTAGATCAACCTGCCAAAATCAAGCCTGCATCAACCTTCCGTGTGTTCATGTGAGTTTTGGCCTTAATCTGCCAAACGTGAGACTTTAGTCTGCCATTAGAATCCCATACTCATCTCATGCATTACGCTTGCTATTTTGTCTTAGCAACAATGAACTATAACTGTTTCGAAAGACTATGAAAAAGAGACATTATATTAATAAAAAACCCTGCATGCTGGTCATGTACGGTATAATTATTTTTTTTTTTTCTTTTGCTTGGAAATGGACTTTTGGAGACTATTATGGCATGGCATTCATCCTTTTGTTTTATTGCCTCATCACTTTTTTGGGTTGAAAGCAAAAAAGTGCAACCTTTGATCTTCCTCCTCCTCCTCTTCCTCCCCATTAAAGTTTGCATCTGCTCTAAAACTGCTTTGAGTTACTCAAAACTTCAGACTTCCTTTTAAATGCACTGAAGCATTCCCTCTCAAAAAACCCGCCAGAATGGATTTTGATAACCTAATGTGGCAAAAAAAATATATATATATTAAAAAAAAAAACAACACACACACAAAAAGAACTTTGGAAAGATGTTCAAAATTCACATCCCACTCGGGGGGGACATTGAAACCATGCTGTTGCCTAAAACAGTCTAAAAATTAATTTTAAGTAATCTGCCCCATTTTTTTTTTTTCCTTTTGCATTTGGTCATTGTCAAATGTGGAATGCTCTGGGTTCCTAGTATATAATTTAATTCTAGTTTCTGTCATCTGTTAGCCCAGTTAAAATGTATGCTACAGATAAAGGAATGTTATAGATAAATTCGAAAGAGTTAGGTCTGTTTAGATGTAGATTTTTTTTTAAAGATTGATGCACTAAATTGTTTACTGTCGTGATGTAAAGGGGGGTAGAATTTGCAACGGGACTGTTTTAAAAAGTAGTTTATGCAGCATGTGCTTGCAACTTAAATATAAGTTGGGTATATGTAGTCCTTGCTATACCACTGACTGTATTTGAAAACCAAAGTATTAAAAGGGGGAGGCACCCCTGTTTATATCTATAGGGGTATTTTACATTCAAAATGTATGGGTTGGTTTTTTGGTTGGTTTTTTTTTTTTTTTTTTTTCCAAAATTGAAGTATTTGGGACTGAATTGCACTAAGATATAACCTGCAAGCATATAATACAAAAACAACAAAAAAAAATTATGAACCTGTTTAGAACGCTAATACAATTTATGCAGTTATAAAGATGGCATTACTGCACAGTTTTAAAATGATGCAGATTTTTTTACAGTTGTATTGTGGTGCAGAACTGGATTTTCTGTAACTTCAAAAATTCCACAGTTTTAAAGGCAATAATCAGTAAATTTTATTTTCAGGGACTGATATCCTGTCTTTTAAAAAAAAAAAATGGAAAGTAAATCTTACCACAATAAATATAAAAAAATCTTGTCAGTTACTTTTTCTTTTACATATTTTGCTGTGCAAAATTGTTTTATATCTTGAGTTACTAACTAACCACGTGTGATGTTCCTATGTGCTTTTCTTTCATTTTCGACTCTATGGTTATATCAAAAGAGAGAATAATCTACAATAATAAACTGCATTTTTTTGATTCCGTACTCAGTTTCTTAGTCTGTAGTTTAAAGTTCAAGAACTCCGAGAGCAAGTACTTCAGTGTACTGCCTGGCGAAGGGGTGATGCTGATACAAGAGCTGGACTCGATAATATTCAGGAGGGGAGAAGGGAAAGGATAGCTTCCTGTAAAGTGGAAAATTGTCGCCCGCTAGAAATCAAGTTATCTCTCAGGTAGATGAAAAACGTGAGCTTTCAGGTGCTGCTTCTGACTTCTCAGTATTGCTCTGAGCTCAGTTTCAGTGACTCAGATCATCCCACCAGGTTTTAGGAGACCTCAAAGGGGAGGTCTGCTTAAAAACCTGATGACATGATACGGCCCTATATTTTGATTGTTTTATGATGGAGTGAAGTGAAAGGGAAGACTTCACATCCTCTTATCATCTGATCCCAGCAAAGCATGCCTGTCTCTAGTAAGAGATGACACCGCATCAGGCTTGGCTCGTCACAAAGCCACTTAATGCTACATCGAAAGATTCCTTGCCATTTGGGTCCATACTGCCTCCTTTTTTTTCTTCGCTTTGCTTTCCCCCTCCCCTTCTTCTTTTGTTTGCCCCGTGGTGGTTTTTTTGGTGGGGTTTTTTTCGTTGTTTGGTTTTTTTTGTTTTTTTTTTTTTTTTCTACAGGCCTTTGAAAGCTCAGAGAGAACTGAGGAGCAGAGAAAAAAAAATTCAAAGGACTTCCTCCAACTTTTGAGAGTTATTTGTCCTAAACAGTCAATCCAAAGGTTAACGTGCTAGAAACGTTCAGGTCTCCGAGCCCCTCTTCACTTCAGTTCTCCATGTCAAAGGGCATTTCGACTTCGAAAGGCTCCTCAAACCCTCCACCGGGTTCGTTTAAAGCCACCTTCCCCGAGAACCTCCAGCATCCGTTTGCAGAGCCCTCTCCCGCTCTTTGAATGGGATTATCTGCCCAGGTTATTTCAGAAGCGGAGGACTCTCCGAAGGATGCTCCAGCCGCTCCAGGATGGGAGTTTTATCTCCAGACCCGGGCTCGTAAACCCAGCACTGGTTTTTTTTTCCCTTATATTCCACCCCCCTGCCCCACCACTGTTGGTGCAACTTCTTCCCAGCTGTAAGGTCATCCCTCCCGGGCGCTGGTGGCACTGAAAGGAGAGGACCTGTTGCCGTTCCTCTGCCCGGCTGGACCAGCCCATGTCTCGGACCCCATCCTGCCCCGTGTGCCAAGGTCAGGATGCGGCCCCGAGACCCCCCCGCGGGCGCCTGCACCCGCGGGAACCTGCGTCAGTGGGCGCTGGGCGCTGCTGGAGGTCAACCTGCTCCCGCTGAGGTCCCTCTGAGGGGACGTGGGTGACAGCGGGCGTTGGTGGCCGTGGTTCCCGATGCCGATGCTGCGCCTCGCCCCTCCCCGGTGCCGGGGCACCAACCTGCCCTTTGGCATCTGACCTGCTGTTGCACCAGGGTTTGAGTAATGGTTCAAGCTCCAGATTCTGGTTAATTCGAGTTCCATTTGCTGGTTAATGTGTAAGCTGTGGGTAAACTGGTTGCTATTGGCTGAGCAGAGAATTATCTGCTGCGAAAGACAGGACTGCTTTTTACTTCTTCTCCCACCTCCCCTTCCCCGGCCGAGCCTTTACTGATGCCCGGGGTTTTTTTGCAGGGGGTCGCTTCGAGGCTTTGCCGCTGCCCTTGCCGAGAGCTCCCAAAGGAGCCCTGCCCTAAGGAAGGGAAGGAGCGAGGCCTCTCCTCGGCAAAGCCCCCCCAAAGGGACGCTGCGGCCCCCGAGGGAGCGCCCAGCCCCACGCCCCCGCAGCGGGACCCGCTTCTGGTCCAGCCTCATCCCCGCGTCCCTCTGCCGCTCCGGGTTTCCTTGCAGGCAAAGTTAGGAGCTGGCACTAGGATTTTAAATAGTAGCGCAGAGCGAGGGGAGCACCTATGCCTCCTTGAAGTATCTTCTTTCTCAGAGGCAAAAAAACCCCACCCTGTTTGAACAGCGATAAGAGAAATCCTTCCTAGAAATAGACCGAGTGCAAAAGGGAAAATTCCCATCGCACACCCAGCCTGAGAGGGGAAAAAAGGCTCTCTCCCAATTTGGCATCGTTAAGACACATTGCAATCTTGCTCTGCAAATAAAAAAAAAAAAACGCTGCCTTCCTTAGGTTGCACTTGAATTTCAGCCTGAAACACACCAACTGCCCAACTGAAGGAGAAAAAAAAAAATAGATGCACATTTTAATGCTCACTAAAGCAAAGCGAGTAGTGGGGTTCTCTGTATGAATCATTGCAGGGGAGCGCCCACCTTTGCCGCAGGACTGCTTGCTGAGGACTAATTGGAACCGCTCTGCTCTGAATAACCTGTGTTCATTAATCACCCCTCGCTTGACTCTGGCCTCAATCCTGCTCCCATTGAGCTCGGAGGTGCAATCCCCAGGGATTTCAAAGGGGAGCAGGATCCCGCCGTTCTCCCGCAGGTACCTCTCCGCCTAAAGCAGGGGGAACGCTGCCCGAGCCGGGCAATCGTGTGTCAAAAGGCATGCGTGGTCTTAATCTCCCCATCACTAACAACATCCTATTTCTCCCATAGTCCTACAGTGCTTTCCCATTTATTAACTACATTACAAAGAACTTTCATGTGACCGGTGCCGGGAGATAACGTGCACGGAGAGCGGCCCTTTGCTGGCTGGGAAATGGTGTGCGCTGTGGCTCAGCCCTCTCCTCCCTC